AAGGACAAGGACAAGGACAAGGACAAGGGCAAGGGCAAGGAGCCAATAAGAAATTTAAAAATTCTGTTTTGGCCCCCTCTGAGTGAAAGAAAGAGAAGTAGAAAATACTAGTTAACTCTTAAACTAAGAGGTTGCACATACTAAACATGAAACCATTGGTGAAATGTGCTTTGAACTGGAAGCTACTACAGTATTACTATATGATTAATTGACTCAAATGCACATTGAATATGTTCAAAAAGTTGGTAACAATAACCCTGATCAAATCAAAATTGACAATGCCAAAGGTGCACMTCTCTTTCATACTAGAATCAACATTGACAGAGGCACCCATGCAAAGTGAGAAGAGAGCTAAACTAGATAAGAGGGCCCAGCCACTACTAGGCTAGTAGTTACAAAAAAGCTTTTGTAGGTCCCCTACTAGTATGGCAAACAAAAAGACAATTTAAAAAAATCTTAAAGTTATGCTCAACCTCGTGAACTTAAAGAGGCACTATGTTGGCCAGAACCAGTTCTTCTGGGGAAAAGAATGCTCCTACTAGTAGCTGCTCCAAGGGCAAGCACCTCCCTCAGATGAGGTTTTGTAAAAACTGGGTAAATGTGTGATTTGAAGTGTCTGGGAAGAACAACAAGTAGCACCAGGGTGTAGTCTGTTTGTGACATTTCTTTTTGGAGTAGGTGTCAAAGACCAGCAACTCTTATGTGAAGCTCTCTGTGGGCTGTTAACTAGAAAGCAATGGAGAAAAATACTGAGTGATAGGGCTTGTGTTGGAGTCAGAAGTAAGAGAAGCAGTGCAGATGGTTGCATGGATTGCTTTCTCATATACATGATGGAGGTAAAACAATAGGAAAGTGGTGTATGCACTAGATATGAATGAACTAAGTGAGAAAAAACTATAGACTGTACATTTACACTATATCCAGCCCCATCTATCCAATAATAGTGCAAAGCTCGTCCCTCTACTCCCACATACAACCAGAACCATCTCCTGTTTATCAGCTTGTTGTTTGTGGATGTTTCCCACTGTCACTAGGTAACCATTGGGAACCAAATTCTGCTTTAACAAGAAGCTATCAATTCTAAACCAGTTACTACAATTCATTCACACTTCATGCATAGACTTTTGTTCCTTGTGCTTCTTTTGTAGTGTATTTCAGTAGTGACCACTACTTTGACAAAAAAACTCAATTCCTTCCCCTCATGATTTAGTCTTGTTCCTGACCATGCTTTCATTTTTCTTTTGGTTACTTTCTGGTCAAGGAGATGGAACAATGTTGAAATACAATTTCTTCATTACCCAATCATTTATACTAATTTGGTTAATCATTTTTTCTTTCAGAAATAATCAGGCGCCTATGAAATAGGGGCTGTGCTACTATAAGATTGAGGATACTGAAATAATTACAACTTCCTCTAGGTTGGAGGCCAAAAGTTTCTTGTCAAAGACCTCCACAATGATACTAGGATGTATAACACAAAAAGACCTCCCCCAGACTCAATGAAGCCTGCAAACAAACCTGGATACTTTCAACTGTTCAATGAGAATGACCACGGCAGGCTTGTTCTGAATCATTTAAATGTGGAAAAGTTGGGGGCCTTTCTAAACTGTTGTTGTGTGAATGCCCCCAAGCTTTGTACTGAAGTAACTGACTGTTTAATTGCAAGCTGGCATTGAAGGAAGTAACAAAGGTACAGTAGTTATACCCAACAAGTGAAGAAGCATTGGTGGTTTTGTTGTTCACCAACAGTAAATAATTGTTAAAAGAATAGTCACTGCAACAAAAAATCCACAAGAAGCTTGGTGTCCTTAGATGAAAACTTGAGGTGAATAKCAATGTGCCAGCAGTACTTTACACAGGAGAAAAAACATGGCAAATAATCTTAACTGTAGACCATACATTTGGTTGTCACACATATCATAGCATCAGCAAGAAAATTCCCAATGATTCCATTGTACATTTTAATGCTAGTATACATGTGTATATATCAATCAATATCACCAGGATCCCCCAACTCCCCCATACAACAAGAATCCTGTTTTAATATGTTTTCAATTCATGTGCCTATCATACTTCAGCGTCCATTGGGGACCAAAATATAGCTGTTAAAGTGAGTTGACCCTCAATTAATTTTCTAGATGTTTTTGTACTGTGCATCAATTTTGGGCTATCTTTTTAGTACTGTGCAATGACTTGTGGGATAATTTTTTTTGACTCATGGTAGCATGTGTTAAAGTAGGAATCAGGAGTTGGAGTATGTGCATGCAAAACTATTTGGTTGCACAACTTGTGGGTTTGAATGTTCAACACTACATATTGAGCGTGTGCATGCACAACTTGTGGGTTTGAAAATTCAACACTATATTGTATATGCTCGGCAGAGTGATTCTGGCCAAACCATTTGTAGATTTTTATCCTATATTCATACACCAATATTGATATGTTACACTACTGGGACCCCACAACTCCCCCATACCGTTAGTAGAAAGCTCTTAAAAATGGCTTTCAATTCATGTGCTTACCATACTTAAGTGTCTGTTGCAGACAAAGATATACTAGCTGTTTGAGTGAGTTAAACCTCTCTTAATGTTCTACATGTTTTTCTACCATGTGTCAATTTTGGGCTATCCTTTTATTGTGTAATGACTCATGGGATTAAAATTTGACTTGTACTAGGAGGGCTACAGTGCATGTGCAAGTGAAACTATTTTGGTTGCACGACTGAAACTATTTGGTTGCACGAATGTGGGATTTAAAAATTCAGCATGTGTAGTTTTTTAGTCATTAAATGCAAAATAAGGACCCAAAATGTACGACTGGTTCGTACATTTGGGCGCCAACTCTATACAATATTGAGCATCTTCATTTTCTACTCATTGAGTTTTTCAAACCACCAGACTGACCCAATTCTTCAAACAAGTCCAGCACACCCAAGCAGTACATCTGCACTAACCCTGGTCCTTCCCATCCATCCTCCTCACCAGGAATGATGTCACCTTATGGAACAACTATTTGCAGCAGGTCCTATCAGTAGTACTGGTAGTAGAAACATTATTGTACCCAGAAGTAATGTTTCTACTAGCTTACTACACATGATCAACACAGTAGTAGTAGTAGTAGTAGTAGTAGTAGTAGTAGTAGTAGTAGTAGTAGTAGTAGTGTCTCTTCTACTTCTTCTCGTAGTACTGCTACTAGTTCTTTACGTTCTAGTAAGAAGAACTAGTAGTACTACTCCTACAACCAGTAGTTGTAGTAGACCACTAGGTACTTCTTCTGCTAGTTGCTCTTGTTGTACTAGTAGTAGTTCTACTAATATGTCCAAGAGAGTGTTCTGGACCTCTTCCAATCTTGCGCGACGCTAATTTTGAGAATATCCACCTTTCAAAATAATTAAATGCCTCTGCATGACTAAATTTATAAAAATACACCATGATTCAGGGGCATTTAATTTCAGAAAGTTTCTGTCCTCCACTTCACCTGAATTTCCAAAAACTTCTGATTTGACCAATCTGAATGAAGATTATTTGTCTATTTACTTCTTTCAAGGTTAGTGATGTGTACAGGTGAATCATTTCTGATCCTTGTTGCTTTCATGATGTTGCCTCATCTGTACAGAACCCATCCTGCACTAAATCCGCAATCATTCTGTCTGTACACCCAACAAAATATTTTTTTGTCACTTGAAACAAACTTTTGTTTGGTTGTTGCTGCTATTCTTCTTCTCTTCATTTACTCTTTTTATTGTTGCTGTAAATTGTACCACTATCATGCCTCCTGCAACCAGAACCCCTATTGTATTATACTACTGCCATGGTTGTTGGGAGCTAGAAGGGAAGAAATCAAAGTTCAAAGGCTATATCTCAATCAACTACTATGTCCCAGCAGGATTCAAAAGACATATCTCCCACAATTGCCCAAAAGTATCCCTTTGCCATAACATTGGAGAGGAGCTTCTCAATTTTTCCCCTCTTGATTGGGGAATCTGTTACAATGGATTCTTCAGTATTTCTATTTCCAAGCAGTTTTGATGGCTCTTGCTCTGTAACCTCTTTCTTATTGCCATACACAGCTAATACCTGATGGCACTCCTCATACAGAAATTCACAAGATACTACTATGCCATTAATGGTGGATGTGGAGATAGATGCCTAGCAAGGCATGGATGAAGCTCTGTGGCTGCCATGGTTGGGTTCACTTCAATAAGAAAAAGAAAGTCCTGCGTTGAATCCAGGTTGAGGACAACTCTTGATCCTGATCTGCACACATGATCAAACCTGTAACATATGGTGTTGAATGGACATGTCTGATACAAATTCACTAAGTAATTTTCACTTGAAGAATAATCCTTGCTTTGCTTGTATTTTTGATGTCAGGGATGGAACATTTAATTGTAAATGGACATTTATATACTTGGGTTTGCCTTGGTTTCCCATGATTCACTGGATTTTCATGGAATATTACTATTTTTCTGGCTAGTCTGTAATGGCATCGGATTGAATTGTTAGTACAAACAACCTCATCTTCTTCATGGTTCATGACTTTATGATAGAATTGGTATGCTGAAGCTAACTTCCAGCAGTGTAGAATAAAGAATTTCTTCAAGGCCTCCTTGAACTTTGGCAAGTCTCTTTCATTGCTGTTTTGTGAATCAATGTCACTGCTGGTGGGGAAGAGAGACTTGACCTCATTAGTTAGCAGGCCTTCTGTGACCCAATTCATGGTCTTGTATTGTTCCTCCAAATTCTGAACTTTCTTCTTCCAGCTTGCTTCATCTTCAAGTCCCAAAATATTTCTATTGGTCCTTACTACTAGTAGTAGTACTGGAGTGGTAAATTCATCGGTTACTACTTGGTGAGAATTACTATTAGTGCTTATTACTGGAAAACCTCTATTACTACTTACTAGTGGGGATGTTATAGTAGTGAGCACTGTGAACTGCTGTGTTAGGGTTTTTTGTTTGTGCTGCTAAGTAGTAACCAATGAATTTAACTCTCCAGTAGTAAGGACCACTAATAGAAATATCCTTGGACCAGTTTTTGCGTGTGGAGGGGGGGGAGGGGGGAAATGGAGATGGGAGAGTAAAAAAAAATCGAATTATTGTCGAACGAAACGTCTGGGCTCTCCCTTTAGTCTTTTTCGTAGAAAAATAACTCCGCAGAACCACAACCTCATACTACGAATTGTACTTAACAGAAAACAAAAAAATGATGACTTGCTTTCACGATTGCCAAAAAGTTGGAGTATCGGGGACTATGTCTTTTCAAAAGAACGTTAAGTGGAGAAGACTGGAATTGGAATTCAATCGTCGTAGCCTTTAGTATGTAACATAATTATCGCTTTTCAGGCCATAATTATACCCAACCATACAAAATCCTCCTGGAACTTTGGCGATCTCCACGAGCTCGAGTAGTACTACGAAATGTAATTCGCACCTCGCGACGTTTTCCTCGTGAGAATTTACCCAATAGTTCAGCATAGCAGCGCGGAAAGCATAAACACACCATCGACATCTTCACCATTGGTAGATGCGTGCATTCCGTAGCGGCTTTGTGACCGGGCGCCTCACAGAGAGTTAATTTTTCAAAAAGCCAATACAAATTTGAAGGATTGCGTATCGTAACGGCTCTGGACAATAACTCAGGAGCGCCACTCAAAATATTATCGATGGGGACGTCAAAACAAGCATCTTCATCGGCACGAGCTCCCTCTGGCGCTAAAAATGGAGTTTCGAAGAGACGATCATCAGCATCTGAAGAACTTTCAATTCTGAAAGGAAATACATTCTTTGTGACGAAAGGAAGTTCTGATATGAAATGGCAGCGAGCAAAAATGGTAGTTGGTGCCCTAGCAGTCAAATCCTATCCATTTCTTCAACCGAAGGAAGACATGGAACCATTGTACAAAGATGACGGTGGCGAAACAAAATCAAAGTTCGAAGATGCCCTTCAGGTATGGGAAGATTTAACACTTCGAAAGTCATTCACGAAAGCGTGTGCTGATTTGCCTGCTTCATCATCTTGTTGCGGCTTTTCGCAGAGCAATGATGCTTCTTCAATCAAACAATACTCTGATCTCCTAAACGACGGATGGGTAAAATATGCCAACAATAAGTTAAAATCGAGAGGATTCAAGATCGATACATTTCTTTGGAATGTTAGCGCGTCGAAGCCAGAAGACAATACACTACTAATACGTTTCTTCGAATTGTCCACGTACAAATTCAGGCGTGCCTCCCATGCGGGTAGTTTGGATTTGGACGACATGTTACTAGAACAAGAGGCAAAAGATGATTCTTCCTAAAACTGTTTACATTGCTATTCGAATGTAGTTAAAAATCAAGACTTGCGAAAGAGATGAAGCAGCCATAAACCGCTCATCCAATGGGTAAAATGATCAGCTCAAGAGAATGCAATGTCATGAAAGCACTTGAATGTTATGTATCGCGCTTGGACTCGTTTTTTGAGTGATGGGTTCAGGAGTTGCGCAACCCTTTTATTCCACCAACTCGATGTCAAAATTAGAATAGTAAAATTTGTTTTAAGAGATTTCACGTGACGAGAGTGCTAACCAGCTTGATGAAATCTAAGCCAACACCAAACCATTTTCTCATGTGAGTCTACCAAAAAAGAACACAACAATATTAGAAGTCTATTTCACCATGTTAGTAGTACAACTGGCTACAATATGCAAAATGCTGTGATGCTTTGGTTGATATGATCCTGATTCTTCTTGTTGTTGTGCTAGTGCTTCTACTAGTGATACCAAGAACAAGTAGTAGTAGCACTAGGTAGTGCTTCTTGTTACTTGTGTTGTCCTCATCATTTCAATACCTCTTGGTAGATATCACAGCATATCACAATTTCTTAGAACAAATACTAGGAATAGTAGTACTAGCCCGTACTACATCTTGTTCTGCATGCAGGTGTTCAAGTTGCGTGATGAGGGGGCTAATTTGGTTTTGAGTGTTAATTTAGAGTTAGGGATAATACTAAAGTTCAGTAGGAATCAACAAGCAAGAATCTGATTCTTCTTGGCTGATTCTTAGACAAATCAAAATTATCGAAAACTGCACAGACACTAGGAATCAATCTTTGCTTGATTTAAATTAATTTTGTAATTAGTAATTGRTATGAGCTCCTTCCTCTGTTTGCTGAGAGCACAGAATAGTGTAACTTGTGAGTTAGGGGTAGACTGGACAGTCTTATAATTTTGATCTTTCTAATTAATTAGCCAATCAGATTGCTAGATTCCTGCCCAATTTTAGTTTTATCCCTAACTCTAAATAGTGTGCCCAAAACCAAATTCGCTCCCCCCCTGAACACCTGTGCGCTGCTATTTGATAAAGTACGTAATACCGGTAGGTTACGTACCGACTCGTACGCAATAAGCAAACACGTTTTCCCTACTGGAACACTACGTAAACACGCACGACGCACCTACCACCCAATCAAAATTCGATCGTCAGAGTGACGATTTCTGCCTCCCTATTTTGCGGGGTTGCATCCGCTTCAACTTTCGAAAGCTTGTGAGAGGAACAGAGGAAGATCATCCGAAACACAACCAAATTCAGCCTCGTCCATCATAAACTATCCGGAATCGTTACACGACGGAAGACAATAAATAGAACAAACGAAACAAAAAATTATCTGATAGCCCCATCTAAAATGAAAAGCACAGTAACTTTCCTGTTCTTCTATGCAATTCTGCTGACTCAGGAGGCAAATGCTTTCTCCGCCAGCGACAGTGGTCTCTTCCGACAAGCGAAGCCATCAACGAGGTCTAATAATGGTTACAGTAATATCGATCTGTTAACGACGACAGAACAAAGACGAAACGCATTTTCTACTCTCCMAAACAAACAAACATCAAACTCAAACACAAGGCTTTCTGTTGCACCTGGCGCCATCGCAGGTGTCTTGACGGGAGGTGTTCTCGGTGGTGCACTTCACGCCATTGCGGGTAAGTTTTTCTGTAAAACTTCGGATCAGACGATGTACAGACCTCCACGTAGAACCTCCGTTGACACGCACTAACACTTACCGCGTATCACGCGAAAGGTAGTTTTTTGGAAGTTCACGACTGACAAAATGGAAAAAAGTGAAGATAAATGTTTGTTGACACAACTCTCTTCATCTCACCTTCCTTGCTCTTTTTCCCCGTCTTGAAAAACAACTTAATGAATTGATAGGGCCTGATCATTTGGCAGCATTGCTGCCCCGATGTATTGGTCAAAGGTGGTACAAAGCTGGGCGAATCGGTATCCTTTGGGGAATGGGGCACGGAATATCTGTAACAATGTTAGGTGTTTTGGGCTTTGCATTGAAATCACAATTCGCAAAGGCGCCGGGAGCCAGAGCAGTATTGAACGAAGTCTCTCATCTTATGGAATTTGCGGTGGGCTTATCCCTGATTGTCATCGGCGCAATGGGTCTTCGTGAGGCGAAAGAATGGGGAGAAGAGATGGAGAGCCAGCCCGCTCACAGCTTGTCATCGGCCGTTTCTCCCTCCGAAGCTAAGAATCAAAATAGAAATAGAGCGGTTGTTTTCAACGGTTTATTGCACGGATTCTCTTGGGATGGAGCTCCTTCCCTTGCACCGGCATTAGCAGTTGCCTCTTGGAGCGGCAACCTTGCCTTCTTGTCGGCCTATGCGGCTGGAACCGTCGCAGTGATGGCTGTGGCAACCTCCTTCATTGGAGAAGGAACGCGGAGGGCAGGAGAAATTTTCAACAGGCCCGATCTTCCCCAAAAACTGAGTTTCTTCACATCTCTTCTCGCTATGGCAATCGGAGGAATCTGGTGCGGGCTGGCGCTCATGTAAAATGATTCCGAGCGGCTTACCAAAATAAATCATACTTCCGATCATCGTCGACCTACTCTATTGCTATTTCATCGATGCAATGCTGTATCTGAATCATAAAATAAGTTCTGTACAGTTACTCAAATATTTCAATACTATTTTGGGAGACGGAATGGACCTGAACCTTTTTGTACCGCTATTATTTTTATCTACGTGTCAGCGTGGATTTTTGCATCCGTCGTATCATAGCTCTATTCGTTTCTGTTTCGAAAAGAATGGACACACGTTACTACTCCAGCAGAAGGGATTGAAAAAGGCCACTAGGCAATATCGTGAAGAATAAGGTCGACCCTGCGTATGCCGGAAATCACGACAGTTGCAGATGGTTTACATTTTTGAAGAGAAATAAAATGTGCAATTTAGCTCCATTCCTTTGTTCCATCGTTTTGCACTAATTGATTCATTTATCACCTCTCTCAGTTCAACGCCTTCGTCCACCCTTGCGTCCTCCACTAGAAACCTTCAAATTGGCAGAGGATGGCCCAGCTGAGACCGGAACTTTGCCTGCTCTGCGAGCTGCCGCATCCAAACGCTGGGCGTCCAACCGAGATCCTCCCCCTTGTGCGGAATTGAGGCCCTTGTTGCTTTTTCCTCCCCGATTTCTCCCAGAGCGGCTGCGTTCGTTCTTGGGAATCCATCGTTCAGGATCGGGTTTGGTAGGACGGTCGGGGTTGTATTTTCCCTTGCTCTCCAGTTGTTTGAGGTACACCTCTCTTTTGCGCGCGCGACGCCGGAGAATCTTCTCTCGCGATGGCTTGTCGGTTTCTTCCTCTTCCAAAGGATTACTGGCAGCTGCTAGCTTCTTGCTGATCGAAGATCTGTTACTAGAAGTCCCACGCGGTAACGTTTTAGTTTCGAGCACATCGCCGGAGGGAAGGGATGCGGTCACTGGTGTACTTTCTCCGAGCACCGAAGATTCCAGAGATTGCCACAATTCTTGCGAAGCTTCGTGTTGACCACTCATAGCCAAAGCTTGGACGTATCGCAGTTGCGAATCCAAGATAGAATCATCGCTTCCATTCGACAGAGCACCTTCGTATAGTTTGCAAGCTTCCTCATATTGCCCTTGACCGAATAGAATATCGGCTTCTTCCAGAGGGCTTTTGGGCGTAGAATTTGCTTTGTTATTGTTGGATTCAGAATCATTGTTGACGACAGTTTCCAAGTCATCCATCGTGAGCTGTACTGCAGGACGGGATTGGATTGAATCTGGTAACGACTTCAGCAAACTCAACAATTCACGCTTTTGCCTCTGTCTATCTTTCTTGTTACCTTTCTGCTCCATCACGAATTGATGCAATAATGCATGCGCCATCGCATGATCTAGAACCATGGACGACGAAGACGACGAGGATGCTGCTGCTTGCAAGTTATGAATGCAATTGCTCAGTCTCACGGAGGCATCTTTGCGTTTGGACTGGTTTTGTTGCGCGTAGGCCAGCACGACATCTGCGCGTGTTTCCCACCACAAGGCTGCGGGGGAAGATGCGTTCTGTGCACCGCCTGTTGCCTCTGCTCCCCCCGAGCCGGTCTTGTTCTTTTTCTTCTTGTCGGACGCACCCTTGTTCGACAAAGTTTTCTTAAGAGACTGGCAAGAGTCGTGGCATTCCACATACTTTCCTGCTTTGAGTTGCAAGATGGCTCGATCGTACCAATACATCCGCACCTGCAACAAGTTCCATTTCGGATGCGGTTGGGGCGGCAATCGCGAAAGATTCTCGTCCAACAAAGATTGGTTGATCTTTGCAATGGATTGCACCACAGACACTTGGTTGCTTGCTTTAGACGAAGGTACATTTTCATAAGTAATGTCTTCGATGTCACGGTACCAAAAGTGTTTGCTCCATTGCAGATTGGTTTGCTCCGAAGAACCATCCCCCGCTTCGATTGCTGCCGATGCTTGTTCCAGCCAGTTGTTTTCTGTGGTGGTTGGATCCGTGAGAAATCGAATGCAACCCAGATTGGACGCCAGATCTGCAAGCATTTCCTCGTCCACGGCGTCGTCGTCATTCGACAGCGCGGCTTCTGCCTCCTCCAACAAGAATTTCGTGGTTTCGTTGTTTTCGTCCATGTGGATGGCCACTCCGGGAGTGCACGCAGAGGAAGCAATCAGCGCCAGGGCATTCGTCAAAATCTCCATTTTGGATTCCGGATCGTTCTCATTGATTTCGTTAGAAAGCAAATCCAAATAGCCAGCAAGCCCCTCCTCCGTTCGATTCAAATGGAAGTCGGATTGAGCTTGCAGGTTTTTGAACGCAACAGCGCAGCTGTGATCCTGGCCATCGTTTGTTCCAGCAGCAGCTGTCGCAGCTTGTTTTGACGCATTAGCATAGTCTTCGGTTCGGTACCTCGCGTACAGAATCAAATCCTCACATCCTTTCGTCGCGGAGGCCGATGCCTTGTCCCATTCCAGAACCTTTTCGTATTTATCTTCCTGCATGTATGCCTGCAACAGAATCCGCTGGAGCGGGACGGTCATACCCAGGTTCTCGATCGTCTTTTTTCGTTTCAACAGGGCCACGCATTGTTGAGACACCTTTTGATAGCGTTTGCTCTTCCAAGATTCAACAATTTCCTGCAAAAACTTCACGATGATATCGCTTGGTTTTGCAGCAGCCGACATCGCGATGGACTGACTATTGCACACAACTTTGGGAAAATGCTACTGCTGTGTTTTGGGAATGATTGGCCTACGCCAGATACTGTTGCCACGACTATCTTTTGTTGTCCTCTAATCGAACCGTGTTCTCGCAATAGGCCAGGGTTCAGAAAGGAATCACTCTGCAATAGCCTTTGGTCGGGTACGAGTACTCGTGGTTGTATGACGATAGTTATGGAGTTGAGTTTTCAAGATGTGCTGCTGTACCTTGTATCCGGTACAACCTGTACTTGAATCTATTGTGTCCAGGTGTTTCCATGCGTTCGAGGTGTGTGAATGGAAATGATCGGTTCACAAGAAAAAAAAATCCCTCCGCTTCCCTTTTTTGAATTTCGTGCGCTACGGCAGCATCTTTTCGCGTAACAAGTACAGTACGGTACTGTAGCAGTCGTACGGTACTTTAAAACTATCCGTCCATACGCCGTCAGTTTCCACCTATTGGTACAAGATAAGAGTCATATATCAAATACATATGGTGCGTTGTCTGACGACCGACGACACAAACAAACATCGGCCATGGCATCGATCAATCCTCCGAATTTCGATGAAACAATTTCCATCCATTCGCCTGTCGAAAGTTTCGAATTTGCATCGGTACTTCTGTCGACGACTGTATCATGGACGGGACAGAACGATCGCAAATTATACACAGGACGTCGTAGCTATATCAAATCCATAGATCCGGCGAAGGAGAAAAGCAAAAAGCAGAGAACAGCGACTGTTCCTCACCAACGACGTCCGGAGAGATGATGAGACGGATCGGCAACACTTGTTTGACGCGAGGGGTATCGTGCTCGAAAATAATCGAACGAAGGCGCTTGCTGGCATCTTCTTCGCCATCGAAATCGCGATTGCAACCGGAAAAAATCACATTGGATCGACACCACGGTGGCGGCGAGCACAGAGACGAAGTTAGACCACAAAACCACTCTCCTGATCAACGAAATTCAAAAAGGGAGAGAAGCACCGCAATCCCTCGCGATGGATTGTCGCTGAGCGATTTCGTGCACCGCGCCAGGCACGGTGACAGCAGTGATCTTCTCGAAGCAGCTACCACCGCGTCAGCACAGCGCACGGGAGGGCAACCAGTTGGAACCTTTCACATCAAAACCTATGGCTGCCAAATGAACGTCAGTGATTCCGACATTGTCCGTGCGGTGCTCCTGGAAAACGGATACGTAGAGGCCACATTGGACAACGCGAAGATCAATAGCAAGAATACCATCAATGGAAATACGAGGAAACAAAAAAAGAATCGACCCTGGACACCGGAATCGACTGCCGATATCATTCTGACCAACACGTGTGCCATTCGAGAAAAGGCCGAAGAGAAGGTTTGGCAGCGGTTGCGCCACCTGAGAAAGAACAAGGGGTCTCACCAGGTCGTGGGGGTACTGGGCTGCATGGCGGAGCGTTTGCAAAACCAGCTATTGGAGGAGAACGTGGCCGATCTTGTGGTGGGGCCAGATGCGTATCGCGACCTGCCACGGCTCCTGCAACAAATCACTGGTGCCGAAACCTCTGCAACAAGCCATGGAGAGCGTGGGAACCGAAACGAAACCACCCGGAGCGGAGACGAAAATGGTGACGACTTACAGGAACTGGGACGGCAGCTCTTGTCCGACGTCCCGATGCAGTCGGAAACGCAGCAGCATCGTCATCATCAAGACGCAATCCAAGGTAGAATCGAACTTCGGAAACCATTAAGGAGCAAAAAAGAACAAAAGCCGCGACGACCGACAGCAATCAACGTCGATCTGAGCACCTCGGAGACTTACGACGACATCATGCCGGTGCGAGGAGACGAGGCCTCGAATCCCTTTTCGGCCTTTGTTAGCATTCAACGCGGATGTTCGAATCGTTGTTCCTTTTGCATTGTTCCTTTCACTCGTGGAGGGAAAGAACGATCTAGACCCTTCCGAAGCATCGTCGACGAGGTTTCGTACATGGTCGAAACCGAAGATCTAAAAGAAGTTGTCCTCCTGGGCCAGAACGTCAATTCATATCATGATCGATCGCCCCCAGCACTGCAGGAACGCCCCGAGCAGAATATGCTCTCCTTGTCGAACAATGGCTTTCGCTCGAGAATCCGGCGGCCCAACATCGGTGGCTATCGCTTCGTGGATTTGGTAGAAGCGGTTGCCGATATATCTCCGGAATTGCGGATTCGATACACTAGTCCGCATCCCAAGGATTATCCACTGGAGCTTTTGCAGTTGATGGCCGAGCGACCTAATATTTGTTCGCAACTGCACATGCCAGCCCAGAGCGGCAGCACAGAAATGCTCAAGCGAATGAAACGGGGGTACACACGGGAAGCTTATATTGAATTGATCGATGCCGTCCGAACCGTCATTCCCGATGTGGCGATTTCCTCGGACTTCATCGCTGGATTTTGCGACGAAACGGAGGAGGAGCACGCGGATACGCTTTCGTTGCTACAATACGTCGAATACGAGCAGGCTTTTCTGTTTGCCTATTCCATGCGGGACAAGACCCATGCGAGCCGAGCCATGGAAGATAATGTTGCTGCCGATATCAAACAAAGACGTCTACAGGAACTCATTGACGTTTTCCGAGAAAAGGTTCACGCTAAGAACGAACGAGTAGAGGTTGGTCGTTTGCGTTTGGTGCTGGTGGAGGGGCCTACCAAGAAACAAAGAGCTGATTTGCCGGAAGGGACAGCAACCTGGCACGGCCGCACCGATCAAAACAAACGGATTTTATTTGATGTCGAAACGAATGCAGAAATAGCTCAAACGAATGCCACCGTATGGAAGGAACACCATGCCCTCGAGATGCTTCATCAGCATCAGCAACAGCAACAATATTTCAATCTTCCACTCGAGCAACTTGCGACCACGAGGAGAACTGATTTGACACCCGGCGACTACGCTGTAGTTTCCGTAACCGAGGCCAAAGGTCACACACTTCGTGGACGCATGCTTTGGAAGACGACTTTGTCTGACTTTGCAAGGTTTGAGTCCAACCACCTTCCCAAATTACAACAAGAGGACTTAAATAATCTCCAAGAGAACCTCTTTCGTGGATGGAACACTAATTTCGAAGAAGCGGCGTCGTTAAGAGCAAAATAAAGCTCCTACGTCGAAATCCGTTCCAAGTATGGCTTGCGAATGATTCTGCGTTCGAGCATGCTTTCCCGTAGGATGAATCGAAGAAGAAAAAGGCACGGGCGCATGACTTGAACTCTTGGCAATGTCGTTACATAGTAAATAAACTCAAATCTTAATAGCATCAACATGATGCTTACAAAATTGTTCATCAAACATAAACTTTTCAATTTGTCTTTTTTCTTGGCTTTTATTCCTATTTTCATTTTTCAACGTCGAAAGAGCCCGATCCGATAACAGATTATAAATTATGCAGGAGCTCCTTCTCCTTGCAAAGCACCGCCTAGAACGTCGAGATAAACTTTCAGATCATCAGCACCTACTCCGAGATAGATGCGAATGGCATCGTAAATTAAAAATTGAAAGCTGACTACAAGAGGATAGAAACACATCCGGATCGGTAACCCTCTCATAAGATTAGCATAACCGCCGCGTTCGATGACTGTTTTTGCAGCATCCAGGGGACTCATGTCCGAGACAGACTTTTTCATCTCGCTAATTGTAGCATCAGCAGGGTTACTAATAATTGCAGCCATCGCTCCCCCAAATATACCGCCAACCAAACTGACTAGAAGTGACAACTGGATGTCTTCCTGTGCAACGGGAAATTCTTGGTAAAGGTATTGTGTGACAGCGGTAAAGATAGAAAATTTTGCCATAGCGAAAGGAACCTCCTTCAGCAATAAGGGAGGGGCAGCACTGAACAGAGACCAGGCGCCCTCTTCCTTTACCATTCTTGAAGTCACGTCGAAAATGTTCTTCCCGAAATCTGGTTGCGCTACAGATCGGATCCGAACTGATTCGAACGGTACCAAAATGAAAGTCCCGAAAAAAGAGGCAACAGATGCAGACACCAATACAATTTGAATTTCTAGATTTGCAGCTTGCGGACCAGAAGAAATGAGTAGAGACCGCCTGATAAATTCCGTCAGCGAATACGAAAATCCACCCCAGAAGAAAAATCCTACAAAAGTTGGTATCCAGCCATTGAAAAAGCCTGTTGCTCCTTTCTCATCAATGATTTTTCGGAATGAAGCGATTGGTCCTGGATAATTTTCGGGATCGGTTTGGATTTTTGTCTTGATGACATCCAGCGGTGTAACCATCAAATGAACACCAGACGCGCATATTGCTCCCGAAAGACAAAAACGCAAGTAACTCGGAAAGTCCAGTTGCACTTCCCGATCAATTGGAGATCTTCCTCGAGGTCCAAATTCTGGATCCAGCGGTCGAGTAGATCCACCAAAAAGTGGGGACCCTTGGTTGATATCGAAGTATTCTGACGACGTCGATAAGACAAATCGTTTGAGCTCAGGATCGAACTCAAGACCCAAACCTGGTGGTAGAAGCGTCAACAACTGACCAGACGAAGAAGACGGTCCACCATTCCAAAAGATTGGAAGCTGACTGTCTTGCCCTCCGCTAGCAGCACTGATTGCACGGTCTTTCATCAACGCTTCTTCGTCCTCAATGATTTTCCGGGCGTCATTTTCGTTGCGGAATGTGGTGAAGCTGCTACTCTCAGCCTTAGCAGTCGCGAACGCAATGACAGGGGTGTCTACAATAAAAGAGTAACATCCTTGTAAGTAAGTTAAAAAAAGTTACAATATCCTCTACCTTGATTGTCACTTACCATAACATGCGCGGCCGATACAGCCACCTCCACCGCCATTCCCATCATTGAAAGCTTGTTGCTTAACCCGATAAATAAATGTGTTGGGGTCACTTGAGTTGGTGTTAAGCGCTATTTTTTCTCTTTGTTTAGGAGTTGCGATTGTCGTTGCTGGTATGGGCTTGCCAGGGTCGATGAGTCGTGCCATGAGTGGATCGTTCATGTTGACTCGTGCCGTCAATGGTGGAGGCTCTACATAAATAGGAATTTGTTTTTCGACGACGTACCCATTCCCTGCGGATGTAATTTCTATGCCAGTTACAGAATATTCCAATATGGCTGTTGCGGTCGCTTTCACGCCACCCAATTTCGCATCTAGCTCTGGTGGTGATATAACGACACGAATCTTTTCTCCTTCCATGTATCCTTTTCCCGGATTCACGATAAGAATTTTATCCATGCGTCCCTTGTTGACACCTCTTTTGAAAATAGAAGCCTTAGCGGTGGCTGCAACTGTCCCTGGAATGACAATACCGCGATCTTCCCCAGGCGCTGATATATAAACAGTAGGAGGACTACTATAGCCAAAACCACGATTTTCTAAGTCAACCCTCAATATTTGTCCATTTGGCTGGATTACTGCACGCCCTGTTGCAGTTTGATAGTCGTCCCCCGCCTTGGGACGTGGAAATTCAACTCGTGGAGGTCCATAACCCGGAGCATATCCACCGCCACCGTCTTGAATTGTCACTGACGCAACGGATCCGTTATCAATTGAAGAAAGAAGTTTGATAAGCGCCTCAACAGGTTGCGTTGACTCTAAAAGACCGAATAGGAGAGCTATTTGTCTCTTGGCCTCTTTAATTTCCCGACGATCCTTGGCTTCTTCTTGCTCTGTGGAAGGCGGTAGACCTTTTCGTTCTCGTTCACTCTGGATTTCCTCGATAGTGGGGCAATATCGTGCGAGAAGAGATGTCATCAATCGTTCCGGTCCATCGACTGCAGTATCCTTCTCGCCCACACTCTGGTAATCCTGAAGTCCTACTTCGACCGAGGCTGCAAAGGCACCAAATTGTTTCAATCTGATGGCCTCAACTTCTTCCGCCGTTGACAAAATTGGAATCTCAGCTGCCTTATTATACCACCACCGCTGACAGTCACGATCAAAAACGAGGAGAAAACGAGACAAATACGTTACGAACCGAACATTGTATCCGGCCTTTTCTGCGTCAAAAACTGTGATTCCGGTACGTTTGTTGACCGGAGTTGATTCCCAAGCTAGTTTACCAAAATATCCACCATTGATGCTGTTGTTTGACAACGACGATGACGATGTTTCGGATCCAGCTCCGAATGGCAGCTGCATTGCATTTGCAACATTTCCGGCACCAAGAGTTGAAGCCAAAAGGGCAGAAGTACCTACAAGGGAAGACCCCATAAAGATTCTTCGATCTATGGGAGTTTTACCTTCCGCTTTTTCATTTTTCATTTCTCTGAATGCTTTCTTGGTGGAAGAAGATCGTTCTGCGAGCAAGGAGTCGGCATCCGTTGTGAGCTGTTTTAGGTTGAAATTTGTCGCATCTCCTGTAGTTTCAACGGTGGCACTCTCTCCATTTTTGTTGTTGTATAGCATAGAATGTGGCTTTTGCTCGGTGCTATGATATGATTGCATAGACAATAAGTTGGATGTTTGGAATCTTGCATTATCGTATCCTCTGGTCTGCACAGACAACGGCTGTCGAAAATGATCTTTTCTCTGAGAAGAAATCGCAAAACAAGATACATATGCAGCTTTCCATATCATCATCAGCAACAGGACTGACAATTGCACGCGTAGCATCATGAGAGAATGATGTACCCCTGGCGTAATCGTCATGTATTCTTTTGGCAGTATTGATGATTGAATTTGTCGATTTTGTAGATCACCGACGACGCTGTTTGATGCCTCAGCCCTAGTCTTCGTGTTTGATGACAAGTAGCATGCTACAAAAATTGAATTCTTCTTTATTGTTTCAAGACGAAACTATACTCTTAGAAACAGTATATCCGATACACTGCATTGACATCGATGTAGATATGAGGGGATAGGCGTTGTCATCTTCAGTCTACAACAGATTCAGTGGTGATGTACTGATGTCTACTACGAATTGGAAACTTCGAGCAGAAGAAAAGTGAATTTGAAGAACAAACATGAATGTACAGGATAAGATACCCTGCGCTGCATAAGTACGGTATGGTACGTATTCGTTCCCTCCCGGTCGATGCCGATGTCATCTGTCACGGACGGTTCGTGTCACGTTTGTGTCCTCATGGGGGACAGAGACATCTGTCCTTGTTCTTGTACGTACAAGTGAAATTTTTTGTCACCAGTGAGTTTTACACCGCACGATGTACATACACTTAGGCAGGGGTCACTTAGGTACGTAATGTATTCTACAGCAATTTGATTTTGAGATTATTGATTATTCGGAAATGTACGAGTACGTACGTACGCAAGTACTTCTTTTAGCATGCGGTAGAGGAAGTCAAAGCGATTGTTTTTAGTGGAGAAATGTCAGAAGGCAACCACTATTTTTGTTGGGTGCCTCCCGAAAACCCAACGGGCCAGAGAATTGGGGTCGGGACCTGGGATACTGCTGGGTAAAAACAAGTAACCAGAGATTGAGACCATAGTTTAGACAGAGAAACAGGACGGTAGTTTAGATAGAGAAAAAGTTTAGAATAACTATTACTAGTAGTAGTACTACTGACCAATACTCAAATGGCCACTAACATACGAGATCAACAAAATATGACTGTGTGGGTGCAGATCACAACATATTATGAAATTTTAGTTGTTGAATATTGCAAGACGACCGTGCAGCACCTAATCTATACAATAATTGTGAGAAGACTGCAAGGTGTCTGCTTAATACAGCTTATTGTTACAACTCTAGGAAATAATTAGTTGTCTACTGGTAATCTAGTATGAGGCGTTCCCGGTGCATCGCTGCGAGAATTTGGGCGTAGTCTGGTTCGTTGTCAGGTGTAATGACGCCGTGCCGTATCAAAAAGTCGGTGACCACCAGAATCATCGCCGGACGTAAGCGATCGCCGTTGCGAACCTCGTGCTCAAGTTCCTTTGCCGAAAAGAGCTGGAATTTTGCGACCTCCCCGTCCGCGGGATGCGGGACAAAGTTGCTACCGACCTGCATGTCCCACGTGTAATACAAGCTAGGTTTCATGCAGGCCCCGTTTGGTTTGCATGTCATTTGAGAGAGGCATCCGGTGGACACCGCGTTCCGGGCGACCACGCAGGGATCGATGCCCGCTTCTTCCCCGGCCTCCTTGACGAGGTTGTCGAAGAGGCTCAAGGATGCCGGTTGGCCACCCGCCACGGTAGGATCCCATCGCAATGCATTGTGGGACTTGTTCGCCGCTCGTTGCGCGAGCCACAGACACACGGTGTCATCGTCCCTGCTAGTTCCATCTCCCCGGACATAGCAAAGTAAGTGAACACCGACCGAAGAAATGCCGAGAAAGGGTGCTGCACTTCGATTTATCTCGGCGAGAATTTCTCCTTCGCAATCGTTTCTCAGATCCTTGACGGGGTACATATCTGTGTGTTTTTTTGAAATCACTTTGCATTCCAGCAGCAAACTTGTAAACTGTTCCAAAATCGCGTTTCTAGCATCAGTCCTTGCGATGGGCGATTCTCCTTGGGGGATTTCATTGACTCGGAGACCAAAGAATCTCTTAGTCAACGACGATGTGCTCGCATCATCTAGCAAGGGTGGAAACAGAAATGAATCGCAGAAAGAATTATCATCCCTCCCTTCATCGAGATTTATTCTCATTAAATCTATCAGATCAGAATGAATATGGCCGATGATGATGGTATTGTCAACGCAAACTCCACTGCTACTTTCGCCAAAATCTTTCTGATTTTCCACCAACACCGCGGGGATATATTTGTTCATCACGTCAAGTCGTCGAGATGCATCGAGGGCTCGGATGCGCTGCAAGAGTTTCATGTCGTGTTCACGGTCGCTGTTCAATAAAATGGAAGCTATGTTGCACAAGATCAATGATAGTAGCATTGTCTCGCTACTATCGAGAAATAGCTGTGGTATCACAGACCTTGGTTGGTCACAGTAAACTTCTCTGTTTTCTGATTTTGTGAGTTGAACGTGCCAATCAAACCATCAGATCCATCAACAAGATTTCACGGTATGAGTAGTACGTACTGTACAGTAACGTAGGTACTCGTACTCGTACCAGTACAGTAAACTGATCTTTACAGTACGATTACCGTACCGTACGTACCTAACGGGGGATGCTGTAGCACTGTATGTACCTAGTTGTACAATTTAATACGGTACAGTATCGTATGAGTCAAAGATCGCGAAGAGAAAATCCGGGGAGCGTCACAATATCATCATCATCTGCTCGACCAGGATGAGTACGTAATGAGCACGTACGAGCACCCCTATGTAACKGTACGTAGTACTATGATATGGCTACGAGTACGAACCGCATGTTCGGTAGAGCACGATTTACATCACAGAAGATGATTTTTGTCGTGTCCGTGTACTCGGAATGGTGTTTTACGGTAACGTGGTTAAAATCCATGGTGTAAACATATTGGATGCAGACACAAAAATAGTAATAGTTCCGTCTTAGTTGATATCGACATAGCTGTTTGAAAAGTCGCCCCAAATTTCGAAGAGGAGACAACCGAAGCAATGAGCTCTAGTAGAGTTGTCACGACGCTAGCAGGAAACTTCGGACGGCTATGGAAGCGCGGCCACGAGAGTTTTTCTCCCGATTCCCGTCGAATTCTATCCGTACAGGGTAAGGGGGCCACCGCCTACCTGCAGGGGTTGGTAACAAGTGACTTGCTTACAGCCCCGGTTCCTCCTCGGGAAGAAAAACAAGATCAAGACACAGGACTAGAAACAGCGGATGAAGAGAGCGAGGCGGAAACTTCAGGAGTTGATTTCAGTGACCATCTAAGAGCGACTTGTTTTCTTGATAACAAAGGACGAATCATTACCGATTCCCTTCTTTGGAAGGTAGACGAAAACGAATATTACATCGATGTACCTGCCGATACGGCCGACCCGCTACTTTCCCACATGAAACAGTTCATACTGCGTCGGACCAAGGTCAAGGTTAAGGACGAGTCGGCCAGGAGCGGCATGGCCTCGCACGTGATCTTCGGAACGCTTAACGCACGAAATACACCCGATGGTTTCTTGGCAGGCGTAGATCCAAGACATCCCTCGCTAGGAACCAGGGTTCTTTCTTTGGATCTTCCAAAAGGAAAGGAGTTCACCCAGATGATGAGCCGGCAGTTTCCGAAGGCTCCTGGGACTTACAATCTAATTAGAAAACTGGCCGGCGTCGCAGAAGGATCGGAACTAAAGGGAAAGGTTGCCGCGGAAGCCAACCAAGAATTTATGAACGCCGTCAGTTTTCAAAAGGGGTGCTACTTAGGCCAGGAGTTGACGGCTCGAGTTCAATTTACGGGAGCCGTCCGAAAACGAATCATGCCACTAATGATGACGAATGTGAACATGCAATGTCCTAGGCCGTGGCTGATAGCATCCCAGGTCCAAAAAGAACAATACCAGCAGCAGGAAGGGATCCAAACGGATGAATTATTCACGAGAAGCGACGAAAGTGGCAACAAAGACGAAGAACTCTTGCCTTCGGACGTGAGTCAACTTCCACCCCTGCCCCGATTGTCGCCCTCGATCGCCGGGTCAATGATAGCGAGCATGTCGGGATCACCTATCGTTGCCGAATCCAAAGGAGACGAAGACAAAGAAAATAGCAGCAATAACGTCGGAGGAGTGGATGATGCCAAAAAGGCAAGCGACGAATTGCAGGCCCAGACCGAAGCACTATTCGAAGAACTGCAATCCTATAAGGTCGGCGACAAAATTTACGACTCCAACGACGGAAAAGCTATCGGGCAAATTGTTGCCCTGCCGGAAGAAGGTACCAATGTTCTTTTGGCGCAGATGCGGTTGGACCGGGTGGGTTTGCTGGAAAAACCGGCACGAAAACCAAAGGGCGACGACAAAGCCACTGGGGATGCCGACGACGTGCCCACGTGGAAACACACCAATAAGGTCTCGATTGGAGAGGGAAGCAGTGCCAGTCCGCTGCGCTTTCTACCATATTTGCCACTGTGGTGGCCAACCATCGATCGCGGAAGTGGAAAGGCAAAGGAGGAATGATCATTCAACACTAAAAAAGTATTGATTTGTGGGTGCAATTGATTCACAAAAGGCAACTTTGTGTTCTTTCCGAGGTCAAACTTTTGTAGTCGTTGATTATAAATGAGTAACCAACTAAAGCTTTCGTTGCACTATTTTGTCCTGTATGGAAGCAAGAAAGAATGAACAGCTATAAGATATGATCGTGTTCCGGGGTTCGAAAGGAACGAAGAAAATATCGTCTACAACACAGTGCAATACTCCCAAAATGGAAACTCCAACTAGATGGATTACGAAAGAAATCAGTCTCTAGTAGTCATTTTAGTGATTCCCAGAATCTACTTTCTGTACACCACGTCCCCGTCAATTAACTGTCACCTGAAACGATCTCGATTTCGTTCTCCTTCTGGYTGATATATACTAAATACCGTCGCTGTATTTGATACACACAAATCCAATCGATCATCTTTCTTTCTCGCCGTAATCTGTTGCATTTTCTTCCTTCCTTTCCTATTGCGCCTCAAACCGTCAATTGATTTGTTAACTGCACGAAACGTTTCATTTTGACCTGACATGGTGTTTATTTGGAAATGCGAAGGTCGGCCTTGTCGTCACCCCACCAACGAATCTCGGAGCAGCGCTTCGAAGGCGACCAGCGAATGTAATTCTTGCAGGTTTGAATGTACATAAAGTAGCCGGCGCACCCGACACACGCAACGACGGTGCAGGCAATCACGGGATACGTCGAGGGATCCTCCAACCAGATGGGTTTGTTCTTAATATCGTCGATAACCTTGCGGTTAGAGATGGTTCGGCGGCTGGCAGTCGCACTGGATAATCGCGAAAAGACATGGCGAACAAGAAACATCGAAGTGATTTCATTTTCAAAAGGAAGCGCAATGTGTCAGTCAATCAATAAACGCCGAGATGATGATTTTACCGAGCTCCTACGACCACCGATTATCCCAGTGGCCAATAACTACTAGCATTCAGATTGACGCAGCAATTATCTCCGGTTGCACTCACCGTGGAAGGGCACTAAGACTTCTTCGGGCAGCGAAAAGAGCATTCATTTTCAAGGTGTTGATGGGTTGTGAAACAAAGTTGGCTTGATGGGATGAGCAAGAGCTGCGTTGCGTCGACGAGGAAACTGGGAAGTTTGCTGTCTGGTTATCAGTTAGGCGTGCCCCGAGCGAGGAGGAACCCTTCTTCGCAGCTGCCGATCCCCGTTCACGTGAACTCTGAAATACCGCGCATTTTCACGTCCGAGCATTGCAGTACAGTACAGTACAGTACAGTACAGTACTGTACAATTGGAAAGGGGAAGGAAAAATTAACTGTAAACGTCATGCGGTAGATGTCACTACTGGGCGTGCGTTTGACTCGCTAATCCCATCTCATTGGGTCATTCGGGGTCGACGTAAGATTCACGTAGAAAAACGTTAAATAGGGATTTTGTACGTTTCGATTCCGGTTCTCCTGAATTCTGAAGGATCACAAAAGTTTGATGCCGGCTACTAGCAAGCAGTTTCCATCGAAGAAAAGCGAAAAAACATCTCCAGACTTGGAAACTAGCCCATAAGGAACAAGCGGCGTGACGACCATAGGAAAACGCCTTCTTGTATGGAACAACACACCGAACCGTCACTATTGTATTACTGTTTACGAGAACCTGATCAAAACTTCCACCCTGTCGCTACCTCCTGGAATTGTTCCTGTTCCCATGTTTCTCTATCGGGGGAAAGAATAGGAAGTCTGTCGTGAAGATTGGTTTGTAGATCCCACAATATTCTAGTCAAACATAACGGATTGCGAATCTGATTTTACGATGTCGTCAAGCGGTAGAGCAGCATCCAAGACAAGTATCCTTCCGAGGTTGGTCCGGTCGTTATCGGCCTTTCATGCAACAAAAAAAGAACAGACCACCGGTCGCGGGCTTCTCGGAACAGCGTTCTCGAGGAAACATTTCCCCAAGACCATGGCTGTTGTATGCATCGTTTCCTTTGGTGTCGGATTCCATGGCATGACTTGCTGGCAGCAAAATCGGCAGTTGCGCTGGGAACGAACACAAGAGGAACTAGAATTCCATTATTACAACAAGCACATTACTAACAAGCAACAGACGCCACCCCGAAAAACGACCACGACATCAAACGGGGTGATGTAACGAAGTCGCAGTGGTCCCTGGAACATAAAATATTTTTGGGAAGTTTCATATCCGATGATGATGACTTCAAATTTACAGGGACGACAAAGCAAGAACAGCATCAAAGTAGCCCAAAAACACACGGTACCTTGAACAAGAACAAGATCGTGTTTGTTCGCACGAATCTTGTCATCTGAAGCAATATAAAACTATTTCGATGATAAATTGTTTTTTTTTACAGAGGAAGAAGCTACAGGGAAGTTCTGAATATTCCATTTGTGAACATTGTCAAAGAAAACAGAATCAATAGTAACTAGAGATATTAGAGATACTTATTCTTTAAAATTGCCTGCGGAACCGGCGAGTAGTTCTTCGGTCTGAAATGTAAATTTTCCAGATGGCGTTTGCTTTCGTAAGTCGTATTATGCAAACTACTAAACAATTGCAGAGGGTGGCACATAGGAACCACCCTTATCTTTATGCTGATTGGTATATTGAACCTTTTTGACCGTAGGGTATGGGTTGGTGTTTCCAAATGCTATCCGGTGAACATAGGCTTTAGCACCGTATTCAAAGTCCGTCATTTCCAGATTTCCCACCGTATGAGAGGACTCTTCCTGAGAATGAATATATTCGAGATTATCTTTCAGGTTGACGAGGGGAGCGTTGTAGTGCATCTCGAAGGCAAGCACAAAGTAAAAGCACCCTACAATTATGGAAATAATACTAGCCGGGCCAAGAGTACAAGCGTCTTCGCTGCAAATTGGACCGACCAGAAATGATAAAGTGCAAAGCTGAAGCACACCAGATAGCGCTGCTGAGAATATCGCAATGCGCCAAACTTTCTGAACACAGTGACCAAGCACAAGATAGAGCCATACAACGACAAGGGAAAACCCACCACCTGCAAGGGCAACCAAACTTGCAATGCGTCCAAACCAAGGAGCTCCTCTGATAAAATCACCATCGTAGTGGTTACAGTAGGTATGTCCTCGAAATGCACTGTTGATCGGGCTGTATTTCCATAAACCAAAATGCAAATTGAATTCCGTTCCATCTTCCGCTTCAATCGCTACGGAGACAAAATGGCATGAGGACAAAACCAATATCCCGCCTAAGAAAGCGATTAGAAATGAAATCAGCCCAATGATCAGAAGCTGTATAACTCGTCCTCGTTTTCTTGCAATTCCAGTACTCTGTATGAACCCTCCTTCTTCTTGGGCATTGATGTTGATCATGMTTCTGGTAGTATTTTCTTCTGCTTCAACGTTAGACGCACTGTCCAACAATGCATCTGGATCGGCACGACTCCTTGTTCTCGCCATGATACTCTCTGTAAATTTTTTCGCACGGGGGCTTAGTGGTTTCTCCTTACTATTTGTAGCCTGTGATTGCGCCGTTTGCTTTATTTGACTTCCATTCGATATAGCACCATCTCTAGACGTGTCCTTCGAGCCTCCTCCATTAGCTGAAGTGGGAGATAAAACATCAGATGTCGCTCTGACGTCGTAAGAAATAGATCCCATCCCACTTGCCGAATTGGGAGATGCAGAATCGGATGTCGCTCTTGTGTTGTAAGTAAATTGTGTTGCTCTTGTGTCGTAAGTAAACTGTGTAAAATCTGTATGTTCAGTAGGAGTATATTTCTGGTCTTCGGTCACGCTTGACTGGTCCGACTTTGCTGTGCTGATCTGGAACCTGGGACTAAACGCACTG